TCACTGCATCCCCGCTGTACTGCTACGGCTCTCACGGCAAGTCCTCTGGCGCCGCATTGCGGCATAATAGAAGAACTCGGAGGCCAATTCGGAGATGACTTCGTCAAGTTGCGAACCTAACTTGCAGAATTCGTCCTCAAGGCTGCAGTCGTTCGGCAAGTATGAGTGCAGAGCTAGAAGATAAGGGCAGCCGTCAAGCTCAATATGCTTTACATAGACCAAACAGTCGATCGGATTGCCCAGCCTGCTGTGAAACGGTTGCACAAATGCAAATTCGCCGTCTGGAAGGGGCTCTTGAAGGTCCCCAAGCAAGGCCACGCCACCACCAGCCTCAGTCGTAAAGAACTCTTGGCTTTCGAAGCATTCGCAGAAGGTCTTCCACAAGAGCCTCGCCCTAGGTCCGGAGGCCGGCCCCGGCTGGAAAACATCCCTGGCATTGCTGCCAACTCGGGCCTTCCAGGCAGGTCCCGCCGGCCAGCTCGCTGCAGATTCTTCAAGACCTGCAGACCTCAGGGCAATGGGAAAGTCGACACCAGAGCTCGAGCACTTCGAGCCAATCGAAGGCCTGTTGCACATTGCAAGCACAAAAGCCTGTTTCATGCTGCGCAGTTTTGCTCGATCGATGTGCTTCACTGGATCCTCCACATCGTCGAACAAAGGCGGCACACTGTCGCTGATGCTGGAGCTTGGGGACATTGTTTCACACTCCTCGAACTCATCCTCTGAAGCTGATTCAAAACTCTCAGCCGTCGGCAGCTGAGCGGGTTCAATCACTTCAGGTGGATTTGGTGATTTCTCCATCTGTTTCTCACTGTTTGAACATTTCTCACGCTCTTCACTGGGCAACATGCCAAAAAGAGCTCCAAAGTGATATGATGCAAGTGGTCGATCATCCACGTTGGCATGATTTGGATCTGCCGAGCTGATGGTTGAGGCTGTACTTCGACTCCAGATAGAGCTCATGTCTGCTTCCCTGTTCTTCGGGGCGGATGTGGGTTTGACTCCCTTCGCCAGTTCATCCTTCCACATCTTCTCGGCCGCGGCGTGCAGCTCCTCATCGGAAGCAAGCCTTCGGGAGTGCAATCCCACATCGGAAGCTGTCTCAGCCCACTCTGTGCAAAGTTCTGCATAAGTTGTTTCCTTGCAAGCAGCTACCACCAGGCGGCCTACAGACATGGCCCGTGACACGTTTTGCACCACCCCGGCGCAATAAGACCAACCCAAGGTTGGGTGCACATTCTTTCGCCAGCAAGTCTGACACACAAACAATTCTCCGCTGGTGCAATGGCTTAGCAGCAGCAATGGCATTTGCATTGCACCGGTAGCTGTGCTTTGCACAGCCTCCTCTGCTGCTTGAGCCATTCGGTGGAGGCTCTTCGCAACCTCATCACCACAAAGCCCAGCCTCATGGGAGATCTGCTTCAGTTCCTCAGACTGGAGTAATGTTGCTGGGCTAAAGAGCTGTTGGCCTTCGCAGTCGGCCCAACCAACCAAGCCTTGAAACGCTTGGCTAGCATATCGGATCACCCCCTTGGCGTTGGGGTCACAGATGACGTAGGGGAGGTCAGGGAGATCCTCCGACAAATGGGAGCTCCCTCTGACTTTCTCTTGGAAGTCTCTGTGAATCACCCTTGCACAATTCCTTCTCACCGCCAAGCGTAGCATGCTCAACGATTCTCAGCTTGATTCCAAGTCAAGGCCATTGGCGCAGGGGGCCTAGAAAACTCGCAAGTTGTTCCTTGCACTCACCGGCTTAGGCTTTGTGTTCTTATGCTTCCTGTGCTTCCCTATGCTTATCGTATGAATCAAGCAAAACTACGAGAAGTCTTGCACAGCTCTGAGAAGGATCTCGAGCCAGCCAAGGCGCCAGACGCAGGTGGCAAAGAAGACCCGCGCATCAAAGATGGTCTCAGGCTGGCCTGTCTTCCAGCCGGATGTCCGTCCAATGCAAGACATAGCCAGCAATGTCAGATGGAAAGCATGGGCCCACAGTCGAAGCTACGTGTCAAAGCTCGGGACGTATTTTTTTGGGATGGTTCCCGGACAAAACAAGAGTCCAGTGACGTCTTTTAAACTACCTCAAAGGGAAAGCCCGCCTCCCAAAAAACAACAACAACACAAAACTATCTAATTTCACAACACATTGTAACCACTAAGGCAACCGGAACAGTCAAACAATCATCCGACATCTTCTTATTTGCTTCCGGAAAGGAAGCACATACCGCGAATGGACGAACTCCCACTTCAGCTTAGATGCACAAAGCTCTGGTGCCCAGCGTGGACTTGATCCATGGGCTACTTGTCATCCAGCCAGTCACGGAACAGCAACGCCCACCCCGTGACAACATTGTAAAGGCTTAGGCCTTACTATACCCCGTGAAACCAACCCAGTGGATCCCAACTGCAGCTAAGCAATAGTCCTGGCTTTTGAACCTAAAATGGGTGTTGCCCTTTTTGAAGATACCCTTGTTTGTGAACTGAAAGGAAAACCAAACGGAAGAACCACCCTTTTGTGGGTTCCCTAAACAAAGACACCTCCAAATGAACTCATTGGGACTACCCAAAAAGACCACCTGGCGCCGAAAACTTTCTCCTCCGCAGCCTTCCGGGCCTCTCCTGGCCGCTTTCTGACCCGATCGGCTTTTCGACGCACAGAAAATCCGATGGGTGCGCTGCTTTTTACCCGAACCTCCCCCCGGAAACAAAATAGATAGAATGGTTGGCTGGTGTTGCTTTTTGGTTTCCCTTTAAAACTACTAAAACAGTGGCACCCTCAAAAAAAGACACCCCCATATTCTCAGAACATGTTTCACGCGCAGTCAATCCTAAACTACGAAGTCATTGTGGAGGAGACCTCAGATTCAATCGTGTGTGTTCCAGTGTCTTTTCAATAGTTCTGAGTGCTCTACCCTCTTTTTGGACAAACACATGGCCTTCAAAATGCTTCTCGAGAATAAGTCTTGCAAGAGGCCTATGCATGACTGTTGCATGCATGGCCCGGAAAGCATGGCTGTCTCAAAAGCAGGTTGGGTGATTCCAGCCTGGTTCTTCGTTCCCATTCAGTTCTGCCGTTCTCCCACCAACACATCCATCACCTGTTGCCCGGGATTTTCCAGATGAAACTCCTGAACATTTGGTTTAACAAGTCGAGATAACTGGAAGAAGTTCTTTTCAGGAAACGTCTTTTCAACAAAACATGAATGCGACACACAATGAAGCCTCCCCGAACTCTCCTAAGGCACAAACAGATTAACATAACCTTATTGTTGGCATCCTCATGTCGTTCTTTCGGCTGGGACTCGCCCAGAACCTGACTGGGGAGTGGTGGAAGGCCATTTCCCCGGGAGTGGATGGCAAGCAACTTGGGGTGCTGGGAAAGGAAAAGGAAACCAGGCAGCCCATTAGAGTCTCATTCAAAGCCAGGTATCAAGAAGGTCTACTCAGCACCATGTAAGGAAATAGCATCATGGCGGCGGCACCCATTTTTGGCTGGGACATGCTGGGTTTTGAGTATGGCTCAGCGGCGCCCAATAACCTATCGACTTGTGTTGTTACCAACATGGCCAAGGTGTGTACACGCCTTGGTCATGATAAAGCCAAGCTAACATGGCCAATAGGAATCGGTTTTGCCCATTTGAGCAGCTGTCAACATTGGCCCTGATCTACTGTAGCACAGGAGACGACATGGAGCACGCTCACGAGCATTGCAGCAAAATGGGGGTTCACCTAAACCCAACGTCGGCTCACACCTAAACCCAACGTCGGCTCATTTGAGGCTTCTCCGTTAAACATAACGAAACCGAACCCCTTTCGGCTGACGTCTCGATCCTCCACGCATGGTGCGTAGGCCACGATCAGCCACCCGCCCTCCTGAGGCTGATGATCAGGGCTCCACTGGCGGGGTGTCGTGTTTGAGGGTACCCTTTTTAGGTTGGTAAGAAGGGGAACCAAAAGGAACAAATGTTGGGTGCTCCTAGTTTGACACACACGCATTTGCGTCTCAAAATAGCATGTCCCTTGGATGGTCAGAGACCAAAAGGAAACCAGCCTGATAGGTCCCGAAAATGAGAATTTGGACCCAAGGTCATTGGCTTCCTTTTGGCCTCCCTTAGACCCCAACAAGGGTAGCCTCAAAAACAAACACATTTTCTACATATGTATATACATATTCTATGTAGTGTTGATTACCTCAAGGTAGACACAAACACCTCGGCATGGCTCATGTAAAAAGGAAGAACCGTGCTGAGGACTTGGGGATTTGGGGAAGTCAACCGTGGGTATCTCCGTTGGGGTCAAATGGCTGTGGGTCAAAAATCGGTGAAAAGGGAACCTAAACGGGCAAACATGGCCGAAACCAGTGGTCCCCTGAAGTCCCCTGGCTTAGTTTTGACACCCAAATGAAGAATTGCTCAAACCTTGGACATGTCCTGTACTGTTTTGATCGCCCGAGTTCTCCTAATTACCTCAGATTTTGGCCTAGCTTCAGCTTTGCCCCCGCAGCCAACCGCCAACCAGTGAACTTGTAAATGCAAAGTAGTGTCAATTCCTGATCCCCATGGGTCATTTCCTGAAAAATGGTCCTTCGGGATGAATCAAAATTCACTTCAGAAAAGACCGCAACTTGAACTCAAGGGAAACGCAAGTTCTAAGGGTTGATTCCCCATTCTCTTCACGCACTGTTATCTTTAGAAACCGCCCATTTTCCCAGGGGCTTGGCCTCTTTGAAAGAAGGATCCCTGAAGATAATGGGGAAGGTAAAGCTAGAAAAGTCACAGTCTCCTCAGAGTCTCCTCCATTTAATTTGCTTAAGCCTCCTCGGGGGAGAAAAAAACCGTCCAATAGTGATAAAGTCCCTCCCGGAAAAAAGCGCCGCAAGGGCAGCCCACAAAGCGGCCGGAAACTATCTAAGGGGCAGGTTAGCTTCTCCCCAAAAGCGACACAGCCAATGGCTCCAAATTTCCAGCGGCACATTTATATCGGCTCACTTTGAATCCCGCCCCTCCAAAAACAACGGTTTAAAGCAAGAAGCAAGCCACTGGGTGCTCCTTGCACCGCAGCCACCCATGGCTGCACAGGCAGCGCAAAGGAAGGAGCCGTCCAGGTGGAGAAGGGGTCATAGGGGCACTCCTGCAATGTTGGCTCCGCAACATGGTCCCTTGTCTGGGCTGCCCTCAGATCCCCCGCTAAAAGTGACTAACTCTTAGTGGGTTAAATGGAAACTGCCACTAAACACTAAAAGGCTAAAAGGCTAAGGAACCGGATGGCTGGAAGGTTCACCGTAACATGCACATTTTCCCTTCGTGGATTGGCGAAGGAAAGTCCAAACCATTCGCTGGCACATTGTCCAACCCCAAAACGTATCAAGCTCAGGAACTCGGGAAGTGGCGGTCCAACCAAAAGGTCAAAGGTGAAACATCCGAATTGCGAGGTGAGTTTGCCGCAACCCTGGATCTGCTGGGTTCAAACATGCCACTCAGGGATGCTAGGGATCCCAAATCTGAGTTCCGGTGGGCACTTGTGTTGCAGGTGCGTTTTTGCCACGTAACCTCAAAACCAGCACTAAGCCCAATGTGAGATCCTTGAGAATGGTTCAAAGGGAAGCCGAAGAGATACGCAACCCCAGTTGTGGCTCCCCCCTATTCGACACATGCCCAACTTCCATTGATTCCAAAAAACCCGCACATCTATTCACGTTGAAACTAAGAGCTAAATCGTATTCACAACAGTCGAAAGGTTGCAAGCTTGCCAACAAGCAACCATCCACGTGCACAGATGCCACGAAGATAGGGATGCTAGTCTTCCACAAGGTTTGCAGGTGTAAGCATGTGTGGGACGGCAAGCTGTTTTTGGGCCACAACTAATCTAACCATGCCTTCCGTACTCGTCAGGAATTTGTCTCCTCAAGCCAATGGCCATGGGAAATGGTGTGGAAACATGGAACCAACCCTTCTGAAGATATGGCTGTGGGTCAAAAATAGGTAACCAAAACGGAACCCTGGTACATGGAGCCAAAGACTAAAACCTGTGGTCCGCTGGTGGCTAAATTTTGACTCATACCGGACTCATACAAAAATATCAAGGGCAGAACCAGGAAGGTCTTTGGTGCAGCTGAGGAGCTGCAGGAGCTGCTCCGTGATGGACGAAATCGGCGGATGGCACTGGAATGGAGGAAGTCATACTGGGCTAAGCCACCTGCCAAGTGCAGGATTCCGTGCAAAACATGCCAGGGTTCCTTTTGTTGGATACCAGCTGGGGCCACTTAAAAGATGACTTCTATCAGCTTTCGAGGAATCCCTTACCCATTTGGGTTTGTTCTCCTTTTGGCATTCTTGCCCACTTTTGGCATTACAGAAATCCGAGGCCCAAACTACCCAACACTTGATGTGACTTGGTCCTTTTTGGGACCGTTCCTGTTCATGACTGTTGAAATGACAGTTCGCTTTCGGGGAAATGGACATCTCTAGAGCCAGGTATTGCATGGATGTGCGTTTGCCATGGGGCACGTGTAGACATGAGCTATTTGGGGTGCCTATCTGTTCGGTCGGAATATCCAGTCTACGGTCCTTGTGCGAGTTTCAAAGGCTAGTGCAAAAACCACGGCACTTTTGGGCAGGCAGCGCCAAAACTGGCAAAGCAATGACATGAACGCCAGAATGTACTGTTTACTTGCAACTGAGACCCGCAACGCATAGTCAGTAGACAAGGTGTTCTCCGCAAAAGCTTGACCCCAACCCAACATCAATCGCCAGGTTCGGAAAGGCAGTGAGGGTCTCCCATCAAAACTCCAGGCTTCCGCTGCCTCCGGCTCCGGGCAGTTCGGAAGCTTCCCGCGCGCAGGCGCCGGGGCGCCGGGGCCGACAGCGCAAAGTGCGAGGCAGGGCCGATGGATTGAGGGGTGCAATTAATTGAGGGCTTCAAAGATTCGTGTTGGTTAAGTACCATGGGTTTGTCTGGGTGAAACCTGTTACGACAGTAAGTGGCGGGATGCTGCTATCGCAAGGAGGCTTGCTTGCAATGGCCATCGGTTTGATATGTTCTCCTTGCTTCTGTCTTGCACGCCGTATGGCTGATCACCGCCTGCGTACTGCCAACGGAGCTACATGGTTTCCATCCATCGATTTACAGTAGTCTTCCCTGTGCGAAGAAGCCCGTGAACGTCATCTGCTGTTGCGGGCGACTCGATCTCCACTTCAACCGCGCTGGAGCGAGACTGGCATAAAGCTGTCTGAGCATGTCAGCGTCCATCCGTCATCAGCCAAGGCCATAACTAAAATTCAAGCACCAACAGCAATCCCCGAGCAAAGGGCCTTGGGCTAGATTTGGCCTTCTTCTACCAGTAAAGTCACCCACCCCCCAGCGGTAAGCTCAGGGGAAACCCCCCCCGTAATCTGACTTACCTCCAAACACAGAACCAATATAATCAGACCATAGAAGCATGCACCAAGAGGTGATCAAAGATTCATGAAGCTTTCTTCGCCTGGTTATGTAGGCGTTCGCAAGACTTTGCGGTTGTCCACCAAAATGACATCCTCAACATCAAGGCAAAGGCCATATTTGTCGTGCCAGTCGAGTGCATCCGAGCCCTGCCTGCAGGTCGAAGTCGCCCTCTTTCAAGAGGCCCTACAGGCGCTGGCTGGATGGGTAGCGCCAGAAGTTGATCAAGTAACAACTTCTTTTTTTCCAGCAAAAACAACAATCCTAAATAGTGCTTCCTTTTGCAATACATGTTACAACACTTCTATGAGTTACAGGTTTATGTTTTGTTCTACACCGAAGTGATTCTAACAAGGAAAATTGAGAAACTCTGTCAACCTCGTGCTCCAAATACTCGCCATGTATGTAGGGTATTCTTGCAACAACCAGAAGTGTCTGAATGCAATACCTCCATTGTTCTTCTGGCGTTGAGTTCGGCCCTTGGAAACAACATGCGAGATGAGTCCACAACAGCTGTTTGTCACGGAGTTTTGGGACCGTTTTCTAAGTTGCGTGATCCCCATAAGCATAGCGTCCATTTCGGAATCAAACAACTGCTCCGGATTCATCGGTGGGTCCCTTTCCAGACTATGGCAGATTGGGATGACAAGTTCATCTCTTCACAACCCTTGGTATGGTAGAAAGAAACTGACTGATTTGTGCTACCCTCTACTAAACACAATGAACAAAACTAAACAACTTACCAAGAACAGTGAAGCCAATCATTTGAGAGTGGAACCATTTTTCCACAGGACGCTGTAGCTCATCCGCAAAATCAGGAATCCCCGAGTAAGTTTGCGCTGGTTACAATTCACACCGACCTACGCGAAAGTAAGGTATCCTTCGAATGGAACCCATGGTGAGGCCCCAAAGCCTTCCTATAGATGTAGATCTCAACTCAAAACCGGCAGCACATCTACAAACTCTGTAACAAGAATCTGCCGATTCCATATATCAAGTAAAAGTAGATCTGTCTATCCCGGAATAATTAAATCAAGCAATATTACAGGTACATAGTATCATACATAAATGAACAAATCAATAAATGAATAAACAAATAAAAAAAAAAAAATAAATAATGAAAAAAATGGACCATGTAAAGTGTCACATACTGTGGATGGACGAACTCCTGCACCACTCTGACACCATGGGAAACCAGTATCTGGTATTTACAGGGAATCGTCAACCCGGGTTTCTTGGGTGGTGCGAAATGGATTTCCATCAGTATCAAGGGAACATGTGGCACTCAAGACAGGCGTGGAGCATAGAAGCACCCAAACGGATCCTTAGCTTCCAAAGGCATTGAGGTTGTTGCATCCAACAAGTGGGCCAGAAATGGCTTCACTTGGGTTCATTCAAATTCTTAGCCATACAGTGGATACTCCAGAGCGACAATCTTGGAACAGGAGTCGAATCTTGCACTAGTCCAAGCACTAGATCACATGTAACCCGAATGTACTCCCAGCATGGACCATGTATCTCAGTGGTTCGTTGATCCCTTGCCAAACACTTGAGTCACGCTTTTTGTGGGATAGGGCGTGAATCTCTAAACCAAAAACGTCCAGCTGAAGGCTATAGCTGGGAGCTTTGCCAAGGCACCACTCACATAGCGCCTGCGAGAGGGTACCTGGAAGAACCATTTCCGTGTTCCTTAGAACAAGGCAAAAACAAAATGGGGTCCTTTCGCCCCCAAGAAAACGAACAAGAGAGACACAAATACAAAAGGTTGCCCCATCCCCAGAAAAAAAGAAAAGGAAAGAAAGAACAACAAATAAATAATATTTTGAAAAATACAGTAATACACGTTTAAAGACCCATATGTCTCGATATTCACATGGACACCTCTACTGAGTGCCTCTCTTGCCAGGCCTCAGCGACCATCTGTCGCAAGCGGCCCCGGACTTCTTCCTGAGCGAATCAGATGCGGGATGCGGCAAGCACCAGCGCGGGATTTACATAGGGTCTGCGTGAACTATACTATTTGGCTATGGGTCAAAAACCCGTACCCCCGGTGAACATCCCAATCCCAACTAAAAAAGACGAAAATGGGTGGTGCACCTACTCCGAAAATGGTACCATTGGTATTCACCCACAGCCATTCCACCAACCTGAAAGAAGGTGGTTGGTTGTGGATATTCCCCGCAACCACCATTGGGGTGAGGTCGTGTAAGGTCGTTATTATTCACCCACATGGTGTGTGTGTGTGTGTCCCCAAATGGTGTTGCTTCTTTTTGGCTTCACTTAAAGACAAACAAAACAAAACACAGACAATTGGTACCTTCAACAAAAAAGCACACCTACATGTTCTATGCGCTCGTGATTGCTGACAAGACCATTCTCCAAAAACCTCTTAACTTTTTGTGGACCCAAGGGAAATCAATAATCTCCCGAAAAGCTAAAGGCCAAAGGTCCGTTACCAAAAAGCCATAGCGGGCTCTCCCCTGATTCAATGGGTTGCAGTGGCCCGCGCGATTCCCTAAAGGGGCCAAACAATTTGCTGCTGAATCGAGCGAGGGACGCCGGAGTTAGACCTACCAAAGGGCATGCCCCAGTTCAGATAAAATCCCCTCAGTCAACCACTTCAACCATATTAACCAACAGGGGCACGCCACCTCAACCAATTTTACCACCTAAATCCCAAATTCCCAAAATCCCAAATATATTTTTCTAAATTCCCAAAATATATTTTTCCAAAATCCCAAATTCCCAAAATATATTTTCCCAAAATCCCAAAATATAAAATCCCCATAATTTCAAAACATAAATCTTACAATGTTTTTATTGTAAGCTTTATGGGTTAATTTATAGTTTAAGTTCAGGATAATAATTTAATTGATGACTACTAAGTTGTATATATATCTTACTTCTTTCATACATCATTTTAAAAATAACATTAATATCCCTCACTGTATTTTTAACATTAAACTTTTTTCTTTCAATATATGTTTTAATGTCTTCTTTTACATCAAACCCTTCCCTACTATGATTAGTCAACATCCATAATATACCTTCAATCATTTCTAATTTTTTTCTTACTGATTTTCAGAAATATTCTAACATAACTAAAAGGTGGTCTTTTATACACAGTTAAAAATATCAAAATGTCATCTTCAACATTTCTTTCATTAAGCCTTTTAATACTTAAAGTACATTTGATTAATTCTTGATAAAACCTCCAATTTCTACAAATTGTACATAAATCTTCTTCACCCAAAGCATAATCAATAATATTATTTATTATTCCATTAGGTAAATTTAATTTATACAATTCCATATTTTCTTTTTTAAAGTGGCAACAGTCATAGCATTTCTTATTAATATACTTATTGATTTCAATACCGTTCATGTCTTCACTATTAATATAAGGTGTTTTTTTCTTTAGGACTATTTCGCCTAAAACTAAATGATTAATTTAAGTCTTTCTATTATGTTATCACATGTTGTTTCATTATAAATATTACTTCCTATTTTTGTTCTAAACAACCCCATTGTTCTAATTGCATGTGTTATTGTATATCTAAGTTCGTCAATTCTATACTCATCATTTAAAAACTCATTCAAAAAATTAAACAATACAACATAGTTTAAACGTTTAATATTAACAGACATATTGTATAATCTTTTTACCATACAATAATACTTAAAAATAAATTCATTATTATATCCTTCGTCATCACATTCTAATAAATGATCAAACCCTTCTA